CGGGTTTTCGAACGGGTCGTCACGTTTTGATGACCTATAACTTTGTCCAGAGATTTTATTTTTGTTAACTTTTTATATCATTGTACAGAGAACATTTCAGGCTTTCAAATGATACCAAATAGAGTTTGATTTGATAATTTAATCAAAGAAAATCAGAACCAACTTTGAAGAAAAGAGGTCTATCCAACTCGGCGGTCGTGTCGCCTTGTTTGCATGGGAATAAAAAATCCAATCAAGCTCTATTTGGTATCATTTGAAAGCCTGAAATATCCTCTGTACAATGATATAAAAGGTTAACAACAAATATAATCTCTAGACAAAGTTATAGGCCTTCAAAGCGTGACGATTCGTTCGAAATACCCGAAAGAGCCGATTGTTTCAATCTAAATCGGGTGACGTTCGCGGTGATTTCGGACACAACATATACTACACTGTGCAGAAATCGGCGCATCGTTGAAGTGCTGTTCATGTGTGAGCCTCTGATTCTCGACGCCGCGTTTGCCTTAAAGATTCAATCAGTCGACATCACCTATACCCTTCAATACAATCTTGTTGTGGGTGACGATGCAAAAATGATTTGAAAGAGTTTCTCAACTAATAACTTTTAGTGTTGGCCTTCATTGAGACAATTGATCTCTTATCCAAGCTATTTCTCTCTCTCATCAGGAGTGCTAGGAGCCGGCGAGATTGTCTATTTCACAAATTATTTTGTAATAGCTATTACTATTCTTGATATATGTAAGTTTAAAAATTTCCAGGTAAACTTTTCTATGGTAGAAATTATTTTTCTAACTTTTACTAGTAATCCATTTAGCTCTAGTCCTATCCGCTTTCTACAATCTCAGCAAACAACAAACGTTTATGAGTGAGAGCACACAGAAACTAAAGTGGAAATGGTTTCGCAATCTTTTGATTCAGGTTTTGAAAAACTTTAACTGTAAATTATTGGGTTGTTCTAAAAAACTGCCGGCTATTGACATATGTGACAGTTTGAGCACTTTCTTCAAAAGAAACCCATTTTGGTGTCAATGAAAAAGTTGTAGAGAATCAAAAATCAAGCTTATATCCAAATTTCCAAAAAGATACACTTAGTAGTTCCGCTTAAAATGCAAGTTTTAATGCAAGTTCCGCTTAAAATATGTGTGTTCTGTTTGTTCTTTGTGCGGCCCCGTAACCGCTCGTCGTCTGGCGCCGGGCTTTTACATAACCCCCTTCCCTCTCCCCGCTACTGACTGTTTCCGAATCCTCAAATTCGACATTGACTTCTCCGCAAATCAAGGCTAATCTCAATCTAGTTGGTGAATTGAAAATTCCCGGCTATTGTCATCTGTCACAGTTTGAGCACTTTCTTCAAAAGAAACCCATTTTGGTGTCAATGGAAAAGTTGTAGAGAATCAAAAATCAAGCTTATATCCAAATTTTCAGAACGATTCAAAACTGGTTTTCAAGAAATGCCAAATTTACGAATTTTCACAAAACTTGCATATTAAGCGAAACTACTAAGTGTATCTTTTTGGAAATTTGGCTATAAGCCTAATTTTTGATTCTCTACAACTTTTCTATTGACACCAAAATGGGTTTCTTTTGAAGAAAGTGCTGAAATGCTCAAACTGGACATCTCCAGTCCTCCATTTTTGAGTCTCACACTTGTCTCACACACAAACCAAAATCCTACTACGAAAGAGAAGACGAAAATCCGTAAATTGCCTGTAAAATGGGCAGAAGTCGTCAATAATAATGGAAACTATTTCGAATGAAATGATGGTTTTATGTTGAATAAATTTTAGTTCAAAGTCCGGCATTTTTCAATTCAGCAACCCAATACATCTCTAGGTGATCGTCGTTCTAACGCTCTATTTTGTTCCTTTTTCTTGGTATCGTGTCATCGGTGCGGGAGAACGCTTTTGGTTAAGCGGTTTGTTTAATGTTCTAGTCTCTTGAAACACTTGAAACATTTCATTTCTAGGAAAATTATTTAAGCTTTAAAAAAACTCGATATCAAATTCATTTAGGATACACAGTCTATTTACAACACTTCTCTGTTTTCACGGTACCGTTTCGACGTTGCTACTTTTTACGGTTTATGATACCTACCGAGAATGGATGCTCGACAAACTCGGCTTTCGATGCGGAGAGGTAGAAAAATTCAAATGATAATATTATGCAAATTTTGGAAACCTACATTCATACAAGGTGCGTCATAAATACCCGGACTCGCTTCCAAAAGTCCAGCTTCCAAAAGCTCGCTTCCAAAAGTCCAGCTTCCAAAAGTCCAGCTTCCAAAAGTCCAGCTCAGCCAAAATTAAACGAATCTCTCTGATTTTTTGACTAGGTCTCCTGTAACAGTGTCCCAATTTGAGGTTTGAGCACAGATAATTTTTATATAGACTTTCAGAAGTTGAGAGTCGCACTTTCGTTGGCACGCAATGACTTTTGGGATTACACATGCCACGAAACACCGTGATTTCAATTTTTCTTGCAAGAAAAGTGTTAATGAAAAAATCGTCATGCAAAATTAGCCGTTTGAAAGTTTGAAAAAGTAGTAAAGATAACAATCACATGAGTAATAAAGATAAATAACTTTAAGGGTAAATAACTTAATTCTGTTATTTACCCTTAAATGTCAAAGCTTAAAGCTACTTTTGAAGTAACAACGAAAGTGTGACTCTCAACTTTGAAACTTTGAAAGACTATATAAAAATTCTCTGTGTTCTAATTGACTTAATATTGGACACTGTTACAGGAGACCTAGTCAAAATTTACCTATGAGAAAAGCAGAGAGATTCGTTTCATTTTGGCTGAGCTGGACTTTTGGAAGCGAGTCCGGGTTTTTATGACGCACCCTGTATACACCATCATGCATCATTCAATTTAAAGAGTCACAACTCGGTCCTACACTCGGTGGTGATCGTTTCAAGTATTGAACACCGAGAACTGGTCGCTATTTCAAATCATAAAAGGAACTCTTGATTGCATAATGGTGTTTCTTCACGTGCTTTTAATTGTCTCTGATAAATTTGTCTTAATTTTATCTGTTTTTTCAAATAGTTTTGTTTAATTGTAGAGCGAGTGATTGTGAAGATTCAAAAATAAGTTGTGACTCTGAAAAAAAGCGAATGGAAGCTACGGTCTCTTGATGCGCTCTTTCACAAATCCGTTAGTGCATAAATCCATAAAAAACAAATTACTAACAAGGTCAACTGGCTGAACCGGCCAAATGACATGTAACCTATACCATCTATATAATTTATTTTTAATTAACATTAGTTTGGTAGCTTTATTTAACAAATTTCCACCCAGAAACTTAGTCCCCACAAGGGAAAAACTTTGATTTCACAAATTTTCTATTTAAAATATGTACTATTTTAACAATCCCTGCGATTCGACTTTTTGAATCGTTAAATCGAGCATTGATAGTATCATTAGTCTTAAGACTGATGACTTTTTCAGACAGTCTTTTTTTCTAAAAAAAAATTTGACCATGAACAAACAAAAAGCTTTTCTTAAATCTTATCTTAAAAAGTTTATCAATACTTATCGATACTCAAATATCGTTAATCGATACTTTTGATATCGATAAGTATCGATGTTTATTCATTAAAAGTCGCTATATATAAAATAGCGATCAAAAGCTGAAGCTGAAATTCTTTACTGAAAAACACAGAAACATACTTCCCATACGTACTTTTTGTCTCTTATGTCAACCGGAAAAGTGAGATTTTTGGTGTTGAGTTCGAAAATTTCTGTAAAGCTTTTCTACTCTAATTTTACTGCTAACTAAACTACAACTGTGCAAGCTTCAGCATCCTCGTCACTCGAGAATTTCATCTTAAAAGTGACCGACTTTTGGGTGTGTTCGCGATTTGACTCGGGGCGGTTTACCAACAATCACCGGCACATATCTCTTACATGAGTCCCGAGTTGTTGCGAGGAGAAATTGGCTATAGAAAAAGAGTTTATCTAATAACAAACCGTTTTGCTGAAAACATTTGAGTTTGATACGAGGAATAGTCCTGAAATCCCTCAAATTCATCCACTTTCAAGGCTTCCTTCACCAGCAAGACCTGCTATACCGCCAATGTTTGTCACAACGGGCCAGGAATCGCCGGAAAGCTAAAGCAACTCGTCTTTAAGATCACAGACGTCTGAAAATAAAATAAAAACATCGCAGATTCCAAGGTAGCCCTGCCTTTAACGGTGCCCGTTATCTAACCGATAGGAGCTCACAAATTTTTTAAATAACCTCTCAAAGTTGGGAGTCGCACTTAGCTTGGCGCGCGATCTAGTTTACGGATTGATCTTTAAAAAGATCGATTCAACGAACTTGAGCCGCACATTCAGCAGTGAAGTTTGCGGGAAACAGTGATTTTGTGAATGATTCTGGAATTTATGCAAATCTTACTTAATGTTTTGCATTCTTACAATTCTTTCCTCATTGAGGTGTGTTGCTGGTCGAAAAACTCAATCGAACCACTTCCACACGTTATCTCGATTACCTAGCTCAAAGGTGATGCTGATGTTCTAGAGTTATCGAGGAAAATCCGCTACTCACCGCAATCAAATTCTCTCCAATAGACATACTCCGGCAGGCACAACCCGGACTCTGGATCATCTGTCTCGTCAATCTTTTTCGTTCCCAAAAACGTCGTCCCTTCACATAAACGAGCGTACACTTGATTGCCTAATTGTAAGCCAAAGCATGCAGTGCTGAATATAGACATCGTCGGTTGGGTTTGGCTGAGCTTTGTCAAACGCATTCCTACCACAACACAAGACACCATGAGTCAACTCAATCTATGATCCAACTCACAAATCAAAGGCTCAATCCAGAACCAATCTAAACTAAACTGCTAATTGGGTCGATTTTTAATCTTTTATATACGATTCGTGAATAAAACTATATCCCTCAAATCGCCCATAAACACAACTTAAACTACGACATTTCATAATCAACTTAACATGGTAAAACGTCAACAAACAAAATGAAACTTTATTCATTACAACACTTCATAATCAACCAAATCACTTTCGCTCACTTCTCCAATGATATCATTTGCTTGATTCAAAGCCTAGATAATAATATAAAAAGAATCAGAATACATTCGGAAACCTCCAACATTGCCATCGCCTCCTTTCGCTGCTGAGCCATTCGCTCGTTTTCGCCGAGCAACTCGTTAAGCTTTGACGAATTGTAAAGAGCGCCTACGAGCTCAGCGTGCAGGTTCTCCTAAAAATCAAAAAGCTGAATTAGTGCTTTGAAGTTACTAGCGAATTAAGAAGTTACAAATAGCTATAATACTAGGGCTCCCTAGAGTTGGAGTTTAAAATTGGCTCATAACTACAAGTACAGCTGGGGTTTCGCGTCACGGTGCTGAAGAATGGCTGACATACAAACGCCGATAGAAGCTAAACTCACAATTTACAAAGCAACCAAACTGTGGTTCCATGTCTCATATGTGAGCTCATAATCAGCTTTTAGGAGCCCCAGGAAGTGACAGGTAATTGATATCTTTAGAACAAGAACGCAAACTTTCTTCTAAGTAGCCTCTTTTCAAAGTGGTTCTTCGCTCTTGATAAGCTCCCCCCCTCCGCATCCCCAATTTAAACTTTAAACTCACAGTGACATAGTCGACCATGTTGTGCATAATGGTTTTCGGCACGAGGTCCTGAACGTTCTTGCGAACAATCGAAAAGTAGCTGTCGATGAGACGTTCTGGAAACTCCTGGACTTTAGAAAAACTCAGTAACATTACTAACTTCAGTAACTTCTACAAATCTAACTTTCACTATAGACAACTGGAAATATTATCCATCTTAATTAACTATCGTAATCTCTCTCGTAATCTTCCCACCCATGATCTCGCAATCGCGTTGTTCGTTGGGCGTCAGCTCCTCTTTCACCAGTTTCTCCGGCACTTTTGTTAAAGTGTTTTCGTTCAAATTACCTGAAAAGCGTGTGGAAATTCTTACCTTTCTTGAAAACCTTTCAAGTGCCCCAGTTGAACCCTCGGACACCCCGGGCGACTTTTCTTAAAACCTAGATAGTCAATCATTTGGAAATTCGACATATAGGGAGCCAAGAGTTTTTGCTATTAGGAGAAAAACGAGTATTCAAAAATATCCAAAAAGAGCCGAGTTTGGCCAATTAAAAATTTTTGCAAGAGGAGCACTCTTGGAAAGGTCCCTAGATCCGTTTTTCTCGAGGCCTACCTAGCCAATTTTCTGAGACTACAGAATTTTATAGTCGACCAAGGAACACACAATTTAAAAAAAGAGTAACTCACAAGGGCAAAAATTCTTGGCTTTCTATATGCCAAATTCAAAATGATTGACTGTCTAAGTTTTAAGAAAAGTCGCCCAGCGTGACCAAGGGCCCAACTGGGGCACTTCAAAGGTATAGTTGTGGACACCCACCTTGTTGCAGATGAGCACGTTGGGGCTGCCTTTGCTGATCTCGTAACTCCTGGAATGTGAACGTTTCACCTTTTCTATATACAGAAGTCAAATAGGCAATGCTTACTTTTCTCATCGCCGCATTTCTCGCCTCATTCCGAGCGACCAACTCCTTCTGCTCGTTTCGTTCGTCAAGATTCTCGACAAATGAATTCTAAATCATTGTCAGCTTATTGGTACTAAACATTTCCTTTAGTTTAACGAATAAATATGCGTATCTCAATTTTCCGCAAGGATATTTTGAACTTTATTAAACACCCTTTATAGGTCGGGACTATGAATGCAAAATCTAGACTTCGCAAATCGAGCCCCCGGCCGTTCTTCTCACTTGCTAAACCATGAGAATGATCTCCCAGTTAACAACATCGACATGTCTATTCAATAGGGTATGTTGATACAAACTTTGAACAAATCGATAAGTTTCGCGTCGGCGAATTCGGGATGTCGAGTGTTGATGTAGGCGCCCTCAACGGCAAGAAAGTTTCCCACCTAAATTTGGGCCTCACGTGAAAACGTTTGAAAAACTTAACCAGAGATTTGGTTTCGTTGAGACGACTCTTCAGAATGTTACCCAAAACTCTCTTGATCGCTTCGCAAAGACGCGGAAAACGAGTCATCTCTTGCTGAAATCGTTTACAATACATAAACTATGTAAACCTATAATACATTATCTCTTCCTTGGAATTAGCAAACTAAAATTAGTTGAAATTCTGAGGTTCGTCTATTAGCGACTAGGATAGACTAGCCTTTTCCTTAATCCTTTAACTCTGAGAAAATTTCTACCTGAACATCTTTGCCACAATGTGAAACGAGTCTCTGAAGCTCCTGGTGCACAAGGTCTACGCATCTGAAAAGATCTTTTAAAAATATATAAATTGTATTTTACTTCAATGAAGGCTCCTCTAAGCGTTGGATTTGTTTTTCACAAGCAACGCAAAGGCGACCTCGGGCACAAAAAAGCGCTGGGCGGGCACCCTGGAAAATCGTAAGATCTCTGGGCGAATTTTTAATACCTTTTAAATCTAGATTGGTATACGACGTTTTCCGTTACATACATATGCCTATTAACTCTATAAGATATGAAATTCGCTAACCGTTGCGTTTCGTAGAGCCGCCAAAATGGCCGATGGCAACAAATTCTTTAATGGATCAATGCTGTTCATCAACTTGCTGTAGATCTCGTGGAAAATATAGCAAATTCTTGCGCCACCACATCTAAATTTTCAAAAAAATACTCATTTGAACCAAAAAAACTCACAGCTCTTCGGCTTCAACATAACGCGTTGTACCCTCAATCGTAGCCCTATAGGCAGCGGAAAATCTATCATAAATGTTTACAGTTATTCAAAAATTTATGTCAACATACAGGGTGTCTCATAAAAAAATCGTTTTCATATCGAATTTCCTAAAAAGTTCTAGTGTCCGCTTTGGTGTCAAAAGCGTGTTTTTGTGCTCAGGAATGTCTCACCCTTTTTTCTCTTTCTCACCATATTTTGATACCCTGTACATGAGATTATGGGTGCCATCATGGCTCCCACCACCACCACTACCATGATCACTAGCCACGCCACCACAAACACTTGTATTTTACTGAGCATTTGCATGGCCACATGGCAAATGACTCATTCCCTTGCCATTTCTTGAGTGAAAAGTTAGCTTGCTCGTTTTGCATTTTCATTCATTGATTGAATTTAGCCTCAACTAGCACTGTGCACACAATAAAAACAATTTTCACATTCTGGGTACAGGGAAACTCTCGGTAAAATACAAGTGTTTGTGGTGGCGTGGATGGCGATGATGGCAGTGGTGGTGGGACCCATAATCCCATGTACAAGGTATCAAAATATGGTAAAAAGAAGAAAAAGCGTGAAAATTTTCTGAGCCCGAATAAACGCTTTTCACACCAAAGCAGCTACCTGCAGCCATTAGAACTTTTAGAACATTCGATTTGAAAGCGTTTTTTATGAGTCACCTTGCATAATTCTCAAAAATTACCTCGTAAGGATTTTCAGCAGCGCTTGATTCTTGTCCTCGATCGGCCTTCCGTAGACGTTCAACTTGACTCCATACTGGCTGATGAGCGATGCCACTCGGTCTTTCAAACTTGGCAGACATTCATGAATGTGATTCATCAAGAGCTAGAAAAGTCTAAGATTGCTATGTTGTTATACGGACTTCCAAGCCATATAATATGACTTGAGTTTCAACTTTGACAGACTGAGTTTTAGGCTATACCAAGCCAAAAATCCATGGAGTGTTATGGCCAGGCGGCCTATGACTATTATTAACTTTTTCTCCAGCCATGCTCTAAATACTCAGTCTGTATATTTTTTCTACTTACCACATTAAGTCTCACGGACAAATAGCGTGTGCCCTGGGTTTTCGCGAAATTCGGATACTCTTTCTGGAAAAATGCCTCCTCGGCTTGTAAGGCTTCGTCCATTGGCTTCTCGGCCATGATATCAGCCTGTATAGAGTTTAACTACCAAATAAAACTAAATCCGAGACCTGTGAACGATTCACCACACCGACGATTCCTAACTTTACGTCCACGAGTTGACCCGATAGGATGTCCAAAGCATTTGTGCCACGATCCATCAAATCCAACTTGGTCAAAACCGCCAACGTTCGCTCACCTGCAAAAAATTTATCTTATTCGTTTTTGGATAATTTTAACTTGCATACCTTCCGGATCGACATCTTTGGCCATTTTCATCGGTTCAGAAGTAGCGAAATCCTGATTCGCGGGAGTTACCGCCAGGATAATCGAGTTGGGGTTGTCGATGTAGTGCATGATCATTTTGAGGATTTGTTGCTGAATAAAATGTATTAAATACTATAATTAAACACGCTCTTACTTCAATATTACGTGGTTGATCGCCGACAGGGATTTTTCGTCATTCCTGGAAGATCAACTAGCGTCAGATTCGGGAAACGATCCGAGAAGATCTTCAACGAAATCGGCATGTCATCAATTCCCCTAAGTGTGTTAATTTTTGTCTAAGCAACTTAAAAAAGGCTTCATTTTACAATTCAAGTAGGCTAAATCTCACTTTATTTGTTCCGGTCGATCGATCCGTCTCATCAGCGATCTCTTTTCTCACCAACTCGAAATCGTCAAAGATCTTTGCGTTGGTATGCTCGAATTGAGCCCAATCACCTGGAAACATTTGGATGTTTGTTCATTAATCATAATATCGTTTATTAGTCGTAAAACGTGAGTTGCGAGCAAATTTAATCCATTTTTAGTTTCATCAAGTTATAGTTTACAAAGCAAAATTCCTCATTAACAACGAGCGTATAAACGAGCGTTGTCAATTATAAACTCTTTGCAGAAATCGCAAAAACGAAGAGGCTCAATGTACCTTCACGTCCCTTTCGTTTCTCCTCATCTTCGGCTGCTGTGTGGCATAGTTGTAGAATGAGTGGTCGACGAGTAACGATGCCAGTACCTCTTGGCAGGAAATCACGACCCACGATAGCTTCGATCACCGAGCTCTTACCGGCACTCTGAAATAATAGAATCTGGGTTAACCGTTTACAAACATGGCCACCAAAGCATTGGACTTAATTGAATAATAGGTGACTTCTTTTAAAAGGTAAGTACGTTAATAAACTGGCTGGCTGGACAACCCAACCCTTTTCTTATACCAAAGAAAGCCTGGTCAAGTACTGTTTTATATGAGAGCTCTACTTCTCCTTAAAACAAAAAGTTGGATGCATAAAGTCTTTGTGTTGGACAATATGGCAAACCAGCCTACCTGTGCTCCAACGACAACAATTTGCGGTAGCTGAATCTCAGCTTCACGCGATCCGACCACAGCGAAGACATCTTGGATTTTGTTGATTTTTGAGATCAAAGATTCCATCTATATATATACTATATATATGCCAGCAAAATTTACACAGAATAGAAAAGGAAAATAGTACTGACAATAAAGGAATTTAGCGGGGAATGGCAAACTAGCATAAACCAGCTAGAATTGGTACTTAAAAGAAAGCGCAAGCTAACTATAATATAAGAATAATGGGAACATGTTGCCTATTTCACGTTTCAAGACAAGAACGATCGGTGGCAAAAGATTCTGCTTAGAACAAGATAAGTAGAGGGGCGTTGAAAGAACGGCGGGAAAAGTCTAGTCGATACGAAGTCGATTCAGTTGCTATATTTTGTTGAATCATCGAGACAAAGCGTGAACCACTTATTTTTATGCAAAAGATCTCTCTTCCCCTTTTTGAATGAATCATTTGTTTGATATCATGAACCAAAAAAATTTGTAGAGGGCGGGGGTAAATTTAAGAGATTTACACAATAAAAGCGCTACACCTAGAAAAAAATGATTGAAAAATTGGCTTTTTTGCCACTTTTCAATGCCATTTTTTCCTAAGCGCTGGTTATTGCTAAAAATTTGTGTTATAGAGTCGTCGAAAAAAGTTTTAGCCGGTCAATGTTCACTTGGTCCCTAGATCACATTCAAATATATTGACCACAAATAGTTTTATGTAGCATTTTCAAAGCTGTTAAAATGAACCATTTAGCTTTTCGATATCCTTTGAACTAAGAGTTTTGTGATCGAAAAACCTTATTTGAGCATGATGTTTAAAAATCTGTATTTCAAAAGTGAATGGATGAATGGATTCAAAACGATTCAAATTGTAATGGTATTGGATCGTCTATTACTTAGTTATTAGTTTTGTTCTGGTGAAAATGAAAGGCTACTGGCAGTTTTGAAGCCATGAACCTGAGAATTTGAGAAAAAGGACCTTACGATCTTATGCAAAAGTAGCTTGCAAAATTCTATTTAGAGCCATATCAAAAATCTAAGAATATCATCTTAAAGCTCTCAAGAAATACTACAAAAAAAACTAATTGGGATCGATTTATTTGAATGCGGCCTAACAGGAGGAAAATGAGAAAACATTGACCGGCCGACTAAGACTTTTTTGACGATTGTATCTCAAAAAAATCACCCATTCTCTCTACTTTAATTTGATACCTAAGGGCGCAGAAGCAAACGTCCTGGTGTTAAGATATGAACGTTTGTTTGAGAGTAAACTTAGACTACGCGACGCTCCTATAGAGCGAGGGGGGCCACTATTAGAGTATTACGGTGTCAACCCATAAACTCATAAATAAACTTGCTGCCCGCGCCAAAAACCGCTTAAAATATTCCAAACACCAACCTGGCCGCCATCCAAACTCGCTCGTTGAAGACGGTGTTGTTGTGCGTCTTGTCGCCGAATATCCGCTGCCTAAACAGACAACAATTACTCACCAATCTTAATCTTCCATTATAAGAAATATGCAGGCGTGCGTTAAAAAACTTACAACTAATTGTGTCACTTAAACTCTTACTGACAATAAAATAGTTTAAAAGCTAAGTTCCAAACGTTGACCTGATCGCTATTCAAATTTGCTCTTTGCCGTTGGTGTTGTTGGGCATTTTGTCGCCGAATACCCGCTGCCTAAACAGTCAATAACTACTTTCAAACAATAATAATGACTTTTATTAGAAAAAATCTAGTACCTGAGCATTTCCCAACGATGCTCTTTGCGTTTGGGCAGCTGCCCGGTCTGGCTCGCGACGTCTTCGATTTGGCATCTGTAAAAAACCAAATATAAACAAAACGCAAGTGCCAAACAAAGTAAACGTCAAAGAGTTAAAAGAGGTTGAATTTTTAGGAATAGCTAACTTCGAATTTTTTCTAAAGAAAAGCATAGCTAAGCAAAACTTAAACAGACACGCGGAAGGATTCGTCTTCAAAAAACGCAAATTGGTACTAACGAGGGAAGGTCACAAGGCTGGGGTGGCCAAATGCCATGAGCCATATACCATACGACGCAGAATTTTACGCTGGTTTCGATGCTGCTATCCGCTTTTGCAAAAAAGGATTCGGAAACGCGAGGAATCTAGCAAATAAGTTTGAGGTCATGAGAAGTCAAAAATCAGTCCTTAGATAAGGCTTCTTTCGCTGTTCCGAAATGTGAGCTTGTGTTGTAGTGGATAAGAGTTTTGTTTCTGAAACAAGCTATTGAGTTTTTGCTTGAGTTCGATCCCTTCCTTTTGTTTTCATTTTATTTTGATGTTTGACCGCTCGAATTTGCTCTATTTTAACTTTACAAGAAGTATTATGACATCTTTTAATTGATAACAAACAAAAAATTAACACACGTGGCTGCAATCTATAAAGTGAATGAAATGCAAGATGTCATAATACTTATTGTAAAGTTAAAATAGAGAGAATTCGAGCGGTTAAACACCAAAATAAAATAAAAACAAAAGGAAGGGATCGAACCCAAGCAAAAACTCGATAGCTTGCTTCGGAAACAAGATTCTTATCCACTACACCTCATGCTCACATTTCGAGACGGTGAAAGAAGCCTTATATGGAGGCTGTTTTTTGACCTCTAATTTCACCTCAAACTTATTTGCCAGATTCCTCCCGCTTCCGAGTCATTTGGTACCTTGAGAGGGGCCCCTTTTCTCCTGGCTTAGTTGGACCTAATATTTTGAGTGGTTGCATTGATAGCTTTTATCTATCCTAGAGGAATCAAATATGCTTAATAGATTGGTGACTATTTTAGCAAGTTTTTGGGAATTCTAGCCTAATCTCATGTACTTTAACCATCAAACGCTACGTCAAAGCTTGCTTACACTTGAAAATAAAATAAAAGCGGCAATATCAAAACTGAAACATGTTGTAAATCCTCCAAAAGTATAACCATATTTGATTGCCCTAGAATCGGTAGATATCAATGCAACCACTCAAAACATCAGATCCAACTAAGCCAGGATAAAGGTGAAAATGAATTAGCGGAAGACGCAATTCTGAAAAGGAGCAAATTTTAGACAACGCAAAAAAGGAGCAACTTTTAGGCAACGCAAAAGCTTTTTTGTTAATATTTTTGATTCTGGGGTAATTTTATGATTCCGGAAAACGACATCTCAGCTCCGGGTTTTGAGTTTTAACAGCCTACAAATAATTTTTAAAAATTATGCACTTTTAAGGGTTTTCGATCGTTTTAAATGCAAATTTGCATAGTTTAAATGCAAATTATCAGCATACCACTATTTTTAGACTGATTCTTGATTTAGTTAATCAAGGAAAAACCTAACAATAGTATTGATTTAATTCTGTATGTTTAAGTTAACATTGTGTTGTGTATGTCTGTATGTTTGTGGCCCTAAAGAGGCCCGTTGGATTGGGGGTTATTTTAGCTCACTGACACGGGTAAAGTTGTTTCACTTGCGAACAGAAATGAAACCATGGATCGTCACCAAGCTGGCAAAAGATAACAAAAGATGGCAAAAGATTCTGCTTAGAACAAGATAAGTAGAGGGGCGCTGAAAGAACGATGGGAAAAGTCTAGTCGATACGAAGTCATATTTTGTTGAATCATCGAGACAAAGGGTGAATCATTTATGTTTATGCAAAAGATCTCTCTTCCTCTTTTTTGAATGAATCATTTGTTTGATATCATGATTTTTAGGTGAGCTTGGGATTCCGGGAGCGTCGTTGGACAAGGATAGTGGACTGGAGCATCGAAGCCCTCCAGTTGGGTCCTACGGTAAACATTTGATGTAACGTTGTTAAGTATTAACCAAATGTTGCTAATTTACACGCTAATAATGTATGTACGTAAGCAACAACAATAACTGTTTCTACTGACGAACTTTAGGCGAGCCGATGCATCGCGATGGGGATCGCACGAACCGTCGCTGGTATTCAAGTTGGTAAGGAGTTTGAATCTTTTGGAGCAAGCCATAATTTTATTTTAATGGGTTCAAATTCACACAGTGAACTTTATCAAAATCATGCTCAATTTTATTTTAGATACCGACGAACGCAGAAAGCGCTTCTCGGACAATGGCAATGAAGATATCGCACTTGAATTTCTTGGGTTTGCACGCTGAAAAAAGAAAAATGATGTTGTATTGTGTTTTGAATTCAAATTTTCGCCTTATAAATGCAAATTTCGTACTATCTTTCCCTCTAAATGACAAGTATGTTTCAAAATTTGCATGGTTGTTTAGGAAAATGAATAACAAGTTAACATCAACTTATTGGCGAAAAATTCTGGCATCGATATTCATTAACCTTATTGAAATACTTTATTAAAGTTACTAAAGTAATTTGTTTATGTACTAGACTAAGTTTTGGTCAAAAAAAGAGCAATACAGCAAAATTCAGGAGCTTCACCTCAAGCCGAAGAGAAAGCCAAGCGAGAGGAGCGTCTTCTCGGCATCGTCTCACCGAAAGAAACTAGTAAGAAAATGATCGAATGGCTTTAAAAATGAATTTAGAGTTGAAATAGCCGACCGAATCGTTGAACATCTAGCTTTTATCAACTTTTATAGCTTTTATTTCTTTTAATTTCGGATAAAGTTTTTCAAAAAGCACTCATACCTCAAAAAAATCGTTATCATTAAAGATCTTCGTTGAATTGACAAATTGTCTAATTTAGTGAAGATCTTCAAGGAAAACAATTATGTATACGTGTATTATATTATATAAATTTAGTCTTATATTTATTTAAGTATCGATTCAAGCTTTTTTTTTGATGAAGAAAGGCATCTCAAAAGTTTGGAAAGCCCATTACCCGTGATCCCTTCCAGGATCACCAACATGGGCTAGTTTTTCATTCCACAAAACCATATAATACTGAAGAAAACTGAATAAGAAACAAGCATTAAGTGACGTAGATAAGTGTCCTATGCTTTATGATTCCATTACCTTATTTGTTTTCTTCATTTAAACATTCGAGCCATAAGTCGTCTATGTAGAGATCGGAAGCTGAGTTTTTTTGCTACACCTTAACGATTCTGAATCCCTTAAGCGTTAAATTTCTTTTCTAGCGTAGTGCTTCCAAAAAACTTCCCGAAGCCTGCATTCAAATAGATTTTTTGTTGAAGAAAAGTCGCCCTCAACCCTTGACAAAAGCATTGATTTCTTTGCGAGCGGCATGAGAAATTGTTCCCTATTTTTTTATTTTTGTCTTGTTAAATTTGGTGATAAACTTTTTGTTATCAGCATAATCATGCCTTTCCCCGTTTCAATTAGCTTTCATGGATCGTTCTTTTGCAGATTCGATAAGAATTCGTCTTTGTATACGCTTTTCCTTGAGGTTGGACTGTTTTACTTTTAAAAAAATAAGTCAAAAACTATATTTGCATGAACTTGTCAAATGCTATGTAAAGTTTTGATTAGTTATTGGTTAAAAGTGAATTCAAAGGTTTGACTCCGTTTGCTTGGTTCCCTCAAAGATGTCATGTCAACGGTGCAAAGAGCTTTATGCGAGAGTTCGACGAGCGCAAACTGTGTCCGATTCTGGTTCCCATCCTAGTACACTCGAACTCGCGTACATGGTTAATCTTGAATACTCGATCGAAATGAGTCATGATTGCCTGCACAAGATTCCTGAGAGTCGAAAAGCAACGATCAAAGTGAAGGACATGGTCGAGTATCTGGACGAGAGAAACTGGGAGCTGTGCACTAGAACGAAAAACAAAGGTAATATCATTTGTTTTTTTGTAGAAAAGTATTGAAAAGATAGAAAAATGATCAAATGAAGATCATGATCAAGTATGATCAAACTTTAGGCTTCACGTGCTCATCTTTCATCAACCATCCCGCAAAGAGGCTGGTGATCGTGCATCGGGGAACTCAACTGACCAATTTTTTACAACTCAAAGCAGACATTCGAATCGCATTGAACTTGATCACGTCAAGCATTGTGGCGGCTGCCGATTGGCACACGTTACAATCAATACTAAATAACACACTCAAGTTGGACGAGGGGACGCGACGCTTCGTACGCAACGACTACTCGGTGACAATCACTGGGCACAGTCTTGGCGGATGGCTGGCTGAATTGTGCACGTTGTTAAGGAAACATCCAGCTTTCTTTCCCGTTGACCCGCGTGGTAAGTTCTCCTTTGGCAATGACACTATGCTTGATATGAATCAAGCAAACGACTTACATTGTGTGGCGTTTGATAGTCCGGGTGCGAATGCGGTTTTGACAAGACTCAAGGAGGATCCGGGTTGGCTAAATGGAGGGCCACGAGATGTCGAGATCGTCTTGCAGACACTCGACATTACGGTTTATCTGGCAAATCGTAACCTCGTAAACTGGTGCGGCACTCACGTGGGCACCGTGAAAACGATCGATGTTATGTCGAGCGCCTCGTTTTTCACCAGATATTTTAATCCAATCGCCTCGCACGGAATGGAGGGAATTTTAGCCTATTTTCAAAATAATTCCAACGCTTAGATGGGACACTTTGTTCAATTTAAACTTTTTTTCCCAAAAATAAACTAAATCTTTGTAATATGTACTTCAAAATTTCATAATTTCATAATTTTTTGTTTTCTTTGCATCAAATAAAGACTTTCCAACAAAATTCAATAAAAGTTTACCCTAAAATAACTTTAAAAACGCTTAAAATGAGTATTTGAAGTTTTTCAACACTTCATCTGGAAAACAAGTTTTATTCCAAGAAATTATTTTTTGTGATCAACGAGCAGCTCACACTAATCAGGTTTTCTCCATTTATTTTTTAACCAGCATTTCCTGTTTGGATGTTCGTTTACCCATAAGTAATCAATGGCAACAATCACAAAGCGAAAAAGTCAGATAAACGATAAGATTCAATGTCTCACGGTGGCTTTCCTGCTGGTTAAAAGCAATGAAATCGAAATCTTTCATAAGTCTGGGAAATCGCTAATCGGCCAGAAAAAGATTATTGAAAACTTGCAATGATTCCAAGAAAAACACAAAACTTTTCAAAGTTCTCTGTTGGAAAAATCATGAGAAGAACATTGTTGAGATGGAAAATCGTTTAGAACATTATTCTGAACAATGTTTAGTTGCTTAACTTAGTCTTGATCCCTATAGTTAGAGATTTAAAAGTGTTTTATTAAATAAAAACAAAACTGTCTACTCTATTTATAAACAATTTATCATTTCAATCTGATAAAATCACGAGTCTAACCAAATAGGAATACGAGAGCGGTTATTCAACGAGTTCAAGCTCACTTTCCTGATGAGAATATCGAGGGTACAGTTGGTGAAACGAGGCGACTTCAGCATTAGGAAGAAGAAGATGTAGACATTCGAATTGATCATTTTCTTAAATAAATCAACTTTGGTGAAGAGATCACTATAGAGGGACTCTTCTTTCTGTGATTGGTTTTCATAAAAGAAGTCGACAATCTCAGCGTGGGTCACAGAGGACGTTTCGAGTTTGATTTCGGCCGAGAATAGAGAAATCACTCGTTGAATTTGAAAACGATTGAGATTCAAATTCTTCAAATAACAAAGTGATTCAGCTTTTTGACTTGGAAAGCCATTCTCGAGAATCCAATTCAAAATCTCTTCGCTTTCTTCTGCCCAAGACTCCATCTCAAGGTATTTTGCCTTTGATCTAGCTAGGCTACTCATAAAATTTTCAGCATTTCGAATCTGAAAACTAGGACAGTTTTTTGTTACGATCTCAAAAAAGTTATTCAGTTCATCTATCAAATCTCCTACTTTTATTCGGAGTGTAGTCTTTGCAAGCACATCGAATTCTTTCGGGAAAATCCTTCGCACCGGCCCCACCCTCACTTGATTCAACTCCAAGAAACCAGTGCCTTTTAGTTTGGGGAAAATCTCGAGAATGCTCTTGATGTTGTAAGTTTTCTTCTCAGATTCCTCTTTCTCTTCATAGACGTCCAATTCAGCACAATAAATAATGTTTTCCAAGAGGTGATGATACTTCAATAGTTCTCTCAAATTCCATCGAAAGTGCGCGAAATCACAGCGAACCCAAGCAATTTGTGAATGCCGAGTCTTTGAAGAAAGATAAATGTAAATTTTATCGAGTTTTTGTCCAAGTGGACCGTTTCGTAATACCCAATGCCGCAAAGAGCGATTCACTTTCAGTAACGTCAACAATAAAGACATCTCGACTTTTGGGAGCACCAGTTTCCGAAGCTCATTTGGAATGGCCAATAGGGAGGACATCAAAAACTTTAATAGATTTACGGGTAAAAATTAAAAAAAACAGTATTATGTAGTTTTTTTTCCTTTCCATGCGTAATTGCACTGCTTCGGGCAGTGTCTTTTTCTTGCTTATCTCTCGTCTCAAGCAAAAAGATCAATAGCCACTAGTGACAACTAGTAAGTGCTAGAGGCCTCGGGTTCAATCCCAGTGGCTGGGAGTGGCCCCCAAGTCACGTAGTACGGTCACGTATTAAGAATTAACCGTCTATTTTCCCTTAAACTTGATTAGAGAGTTGTAACTCTTACCTATAAGAGCCTCTAGCTTTTCACACGAATCTTAGCGATTTTTCCCGTCAACGATCTCCTTTTTTTGATGAGCTGAAAATTAATCAAAGTTGTATTTACGTGTGTTTTGTAGGTTTTGCAAGACAAAACAAGAGCTAGGGGGCACACGGAGTTGACCCATCGACCTCTCGGACTGCAGCCGAATGCTCTGCCACTGAGCTATACCCCCACGTAGACCATGGGTTTGGAAAGTTCCCAAACCTTCTCCGGCACCCGAACAGAGAGATGGTCGTGTTCCGATTGTAGATTTTATTATTTACTTAATTGAATTCCTGCTTTTAATCGGTCAATGCTACTTTTTTGAAACAAAGACTTTTAAGCAGAATAAAGAATGGATCGAATTCATTGAAATTCGTAGAAATTGATTAGATAAATCTATTAGGTGTGTGAAAAAGTAATCCACGTTTTTAACGTTTAAATATAAAAGACCATAAGTTTCGTTAAAATAGAAATCTGAATAGAATAGAACAACCTTTTGCCAACGTTCTACAAGTAAAGATATTCCACGATAATAAAAATCTTGGTCCGTAGAGGCGAAGAAAAGATTAACCTCGGTTTTGACATCTTCTTCGGAATTGAACCGTTTATTGGCCAAAAAGTTAGACAGAGACAAAAATAAATAATAATCAGATGGAGAAAGGTCTGAACTATAAGGTGGATATGGTAAAACCTTCCATCCAACACTCTGGATTTTTTGCCGTAAAGAGACATGTGGTCGCGCGTTATCGTTCATGCGGTATCCATTTATCCAACTTTTTGATAAAATTCATGGCATTCAAGCGTTTCCTTACGGTTGACCCATCACAATTTAATGTAAGGCCTATTTCTGAAGAGGTTGAACGAGGGTTTTCGAGAAGACAGAGTCTTATTTGGTCATCAGATAAAAATAAAAAACGTGGACTACTTTTTCACACACCTAATACTATATAATCTGATTAGCAGATTTGAAACAACTTGAAATCAATAAATAAATCTTACTGATGTATCTTACTGATGTATCTTACTGAATTTCATCTTACTGAATTTCAAAGATCTCTCAAAGACAAAGAGTTTATTGAGCGAATTGAGCATCTGTCCAGAATTTCTTTTGAAATGTTTCCATTTCCTCTTTGTAAACGTCAAATCTTTTCTCTTCTAGCCCAGGAGCACCTAAATTGAATATAAATATAGTTGTGAATGTTAAATATGCTGTAAGTTAAAGAACTCTTGAAACTAATCACTCTTGTCACTGAAATCCTGAAAGCTTTTCATAATTAGATAGAGAAAATCATTTACTTCCAACATCGATTCCTTCCATTTCGAAAAACCACAAATAGTTGTACATAATTAAAAGCATTTCTTGTAAATTGCTTAATGGAATATAAAGCAATCCTCTATACTCAACCAGACACTGAGTTGTGATGTTCTCTAAGCGAAAAGCTGTACTACAAAAAGTGTGCCTGTTTGTTCGGAGTGGCTAGGCTGACAATCAGACCGGTTCTCTCATTTGCACCCCACGATGGACCATGACAATGACTTCTGGTCTGTTCCTTTTTATTTTCCGCTTTTGGCCACCCTAGTTCCGTAACACAAACAAAGAAAAACCCGTACGAGGGATCAAGGCGAACGCTCATTTCTTTTAAAAGTCCTTCAACTAAATAGAGAAACGTTTCTCGGTGATACTGAGCTCGAGGCCAGAAATGTAATAATCGAAAAGCTTGTTCAAAAAGTGAATGTGTCACGAGAAATTCTTTCTGATCGAGTCTCTCACATAAAGAATACGGTATTCTCATTGAAGAGCTTGGAGCTGATTCGGGGAATTCTCGAATCTCACATTTTATCTCACACCCACAAACAGCTGCCTCTTCATTCATCGGAACTCGATTCCAAAAGTAGATATAACCCCAAAAACGTCGCGTTTTATCGGAAAGAGTGTATTTGATGAGATCTTCAGCGTATAGTGGTCTTTTCTTATAGTATTTTTTGTCTAATAGCTGTTGGAGTCGTTGAAAGAAACTTTCGAATGGCTTCACTTCTTTAGGTCCTCTCTTTCTTTCTAGATGAGCGTATTTTTCGATGAGAGCTTTCTTTTCGCATAGGGCTCTTCTTACAGCTTCGATATCTAATGTGATTTTGCTTGTTGGTTGATCCCACATCAGCTTTTCGTTTTCAGTCAACTCTCGAATCTCGCTGAGATCTCGCTTAAATGCTAATCCATATCGACCACACCATTCGGTTCGCGAATCCGCCAAATAGTAGGTACAATATTGTCGACGTCTCGTAAAAACTTTCCCAACTTCTACGATGTTATGAATAGCCAGATTAAGAAAATCGATCAATTCCACCCAGCTCAGCGTCATCATTTGGCAATTCCATAACGCGTGAATTGCAAAACGAAAGCAAAAATCTTGTACAATGAAATCGAGAGCAACTAGGTTTGCAAGAAGTTTTATATGACTCTTCATCGGCTCGAGCAAATCCTTTTTTGAAGTCCAATTAAAATAACGATATCCTGGGTAATGATATTCTTTATTGCCATACGTTGTACAGTCCATATCGCCACCGGTTTGTTCTTTTGAAAAGAAAACGAGAAACTCATGAATTTCTTCTAATAGAATGGGTTTCTTTTTTATCGTTAATTGAGCAAAATTCGTGGTAAGGCAAAAGTATTGAGCAAGATTTCCTCGCAACTCGTTCAGATCAACGTATTCCCCTTTGTATGTACCAACTACTAGAGATTTACACTGGGAAAAATCCGTTTCAGCGCTTTTTTTGATTCTTAAACGTTGAAAGTTTGTATTCCGAAGTAGCTTTGGGAGAAATTCGTATTGAAAATACTCGTTTAAGAGTTGCTCTTCTCTGGTGATTGGGTGCTGATCAATGACCAATGTCTTGCTTTTGCTAGATGGTTCGCTAGGCTCAATAAAAGCTGTAAACCCTGTGATATCTTGGGGGAGAATCTCCGCTGTGTTGAGCTCGATTTGTTTTTCAAAGGAGACAATCACACCATCGGGTTTCTTCTGTCTTTTTTGCTCTCTGTTGATTTCTGGTTGAGCATTGTAGGCGGTAAAGAGCTGAAAAGTGTTACTGGGAAAGTTCAAGTTCAAGTTCAAGTTCAAGCTTTAAAGCTTCTTGTATAGCTATCTAGTACAGAATTTTAGCTATCTAGTATAGAATTTTAAAAAACTAACGCAGGATTCTAAAAATTCAGATATTTTTATCCTATTAGGTTGATGCATAAGTGTTTTTGTTCCTTTTCGTCTGCCGTTTCAAGCCAACAAATGCACCAATTAAACTACGGTTGATTTCATTAGAAAAACCAATTATTTTTCTGCAAAATAACATTAAAACGGGTTTAAAAATATTTAATGCCTGGATTTTCTTGAGAGTATGAAGTCGGGTAGTCAAAAAGGGCTAACTCGATGATGCGGTTTAGACACCTTAGCTAAAGAAAACCTATCTTCGTGTCAATAGATAAAAGATAGAGAAAAAAAAACGTTTGATATTTCGCCAAAATTTCAGAGAAATTCATTCAGCCAATTTTTCCGTAGAGTTTTTTATAGATTTTTACGAAAAAGGCGTTTTTCACTCTCGAATTTGCTTGAAAGTGAACCGAAATTGATTTAAAAAGATGCAAATTGAACAAAAAAACACTTTTTTTATAGAGCAAACTATAGATTAATTGGTGAATTTGTTACTTTTTAACAGAAGTACGAAAAAAACGAAAAGACTTATGCATCAACCTATTAATATGCCGATTTTCATCAAGATTTTCATCAAAAGATTTCAACTCTCACGACGATTATACTACACAAGCTGAAAAGCTCAACAATCGCTATTTTTTGCTGAAAACCACCGTTATCTCGTTTTAACTCCGTACCTTTAGCAAGTCACCGTACCTGCGTCGTTGGTTTGAGTCGTTGTCGTTGTCGTCGTTGTCGACACTCCCGTGTTTTTGGTCTTCCAAGCTTTCGTCGCCCTCTGGAACCATCGTTTACACTGACTTTCGGATAGAGCATCTTCGTCAAACACTTGAGATAGAGCGCGATGAGCTTCAGCAGCCGATTTGCCTTGCTTAAACTCATACCACAAGCAGGCCCGCAAGCGAAATTTTTGGTCCAACATTTTCTAAACACTCTTTCTTGTAAAAAAACAAAGTAAACATAGACAAATTATATCTTAAACGATGCGCAAGAACACGCTCTTTCCAATAGAATAAACTATAAACTGCTGTTTTCGGTGATTTTCTAAAAGGCACTAGCGGCACCGTAGTGCGTACGCGATGCTCCGCGTCGGGATCGCCGTTTTCTCGCCGGTTTTTGAATAGCATCGCGGCGCGAACTATTCTCAACCGTTCATCATGTTCTCTTAGAAAATCTACTCGTCATTTAAACGTTGCTTTCCTCAGAGGGATCGACGTTTATACCTTCATTTCGCTTTAGCAGAACAATTCTTTTTGTTGTGTTGGTGACTTGCTAAAGGTACGGAGTTAAAACGAGATAACGGTGGTTTTCGGCGAAAAATCGCAATTGTTGAACTTTTAAGCTTTGTTTATATAATAAATATTTCCATATTTCTCGTATAATTTATATTTTTGTCCATCCAAGTCTGGTCGCTAAAGATTTTTGCGAAACGTTGACTTAAACTTTGCAAAAGGAAATCTTTTCAAAAAAACTGTTATTACCATTTGATAGACTAAAGTTTTTTCTTGAAAACAAGCCACAAACGAACTTTATAACTCAAAAACGAAAGATTTTCAAGCAATTCCACGAAGAGCACCTAAATTTCAAAAGCAAAAAAAGCGCTCATCCTCATACTCATCAAAAATTTGTTTAGAGTTGCAACTTTTATGAAAAAAAAGTATAGTAAGGGTAAAAATATCTGAATTTTCATAATCGGGTGTTAGTTTTTTAAAAATAGCGTATTTTCCGAGTCAAATTGTCCATTTACAAAAAGTAGAAGAGCTTTTGGGATACCCTGTGGTGTTGCGCTCTACAAAAAAAGACGATTTTCTCAAGAACTAAAAGAATTGACAGTTTTTTTGTTTAGTTATTTAAAATCTACGGGCATTTTTTCACTAGATTTATAAGTTTGTGTAAAAATTTTGAAACTCAACCTTCTCTAAACATTCCGTTTCCTTTAACGCCTTAGCAGCATCAAAACGTTTCTCGATGGTAATTTTTCGAGAAGAGCAGCTAAATTCATATGCAAAAGAATGCTTTGAAAAAATGCTGCAAAAGAATGCTTCAAAAAATGCTTCAAAAAAGAATTCATACCTGTTAATTAGCTCTTTTAACTTTTCAGTTCCATCGGTTGTTGTTGAAAAATGAAACGCGTTGATTTGACTGGGACAACGACTATAAATAGCAATAAACTGATTACCTTTTGGATTACCGTATTCTCTAATAGTAGTGCACCCTGAGCGTCGAATTTTCAGAATATTTTTCAGTATTTTCGTCAATCATGACTTTATTTGTAAAGTTGGCGATTTTGGGGCGTGCAAAATATTTCAAGTGCGTGCAAAATGTGCAATTTATATTGGAACCGTATTGGAACCGTATTAGATCAAAATAGGAACCGTATTGGAACCGTATTGGAGCTACGGATTACCGTTACCGATTACCGAGCTACGGATCAAATTAGGAACCGTATTGGAGCCGTATTGGAGCCGTATTGGAACCGTATTGGAACCGTATTGGAACCGTATTAGATCACAATTGGAACCGTATTGGAGCCGTATTGGAGCTACGGATTACCGTTACCGATTACCGTATTGAAGCTACGGATTACCGTTACCGATTACCGAGCTACGGATCAAAATAGGAACCGTATTGGAACCGTATTAGATCAAAATAGGAACCGTATTTTTCCGGTTCCTATTTTGATCCGTAGTGCACCCTGAGCGTCGCCTAAATTCCTCGAAATCTCGAGAACCGCTTATCAGAACCTATTGATGTGGGGTCGAAAAATGTAGCTGACGATGAGATCTTCTGGGGGGTTTGAGTGTTGAGCTTCTGCAAAAGCTTGGAAACCGTAAAATCGTCACCAACTCGGCTCCCCCTGCACTACTATTAGAGAAAATACGACATTTGGAAACTCCTGTATACCTTCGACTGCAAAGCTCCAAAAGAACAATACCACTTGCATAAACATCACATTTATACCAACTCTAAAACAATAAATAGATATTTTTATCAATAAAAAGAAGTGTCATTGACGTATATATTTGTCATTTATTTAATAATATTTTTAATAATGTAATATCCACAAAAATTGAAACCTCTTCCTCCAAATCGCTTCTAGAGAACACCTCTGGAGCCATATATTCCATAGTTCCAATGCGAGAATGCTCAATTTTTCCCCTTTCTTGAAATATTTTGCACGCCCCAAAATCGCCAACTTTACAAATAAAGTCATAATTGACGAAAATACTGAAAGATATTATCTTAACTGAAAAATATTATCTTAAAAAATGCTTAACTTTTCCGGTTTTATGTCACAATGAGCAATGCATTGTTCTTTCAAATAACATAAAGCCGTGAAGATTTCTTGTGCCCATTTGACGATTGTCAACACAGAATAGTTGATTTCAAAGTTTTTCATAACTGAAACGAATAGCCTTTGCTCAAAGCATTCAACGCTCAAAGCATTCAACGCTCAAAGCATTATCTGAGAAAATCAACCATGTCGGAGTGATCCGTGTTCACAGAATTCCATAAAAATCGGATAGTGTTCCCCCTTGTAGAGAAAATCACTTGGTTGATCGAGATATTTGACGATATATTTGTGTGTCAACTCCTTCAAAATGAGCAACTCTTTCTGCTGAGCGTCGATGTCTTTCCCGCGAGCGACCTCTTTCATCACATAGGGTCTATGAAAATTAAGTCATTTGTCTTCAAGAGATGTTTTATAGTTGTTTTAGCTTTATGCTTATCCAGACTCTATTTAAGAAATGAAAACCAATAGAAGCAAGCCAATGAGGCATTCAATTTTGGAAAGCCAGCGAGACATTCAATTTTAGAAATCTTCGCAAAAGTTTCAAACGTTAACTCACGGATTATAGTCTTCGAGCAGCAAAACTCTTCCGAAACCACCTTCTCCAATTTGCACAACATTTTTCTCATCCATCAAAAGAAGCAAAAAATAAAACCTTTTATGGTTTTTCAACTATTAACAAAGCCAAATATAGTGATTTTTTTTGGAGAGAGGTGCCTTTCATTGCGCAACTTTAGTGCCACACCAAAGCATCCAATAGAATCACCAAAGCATCCAATTCATAAAGCTATCAAAGCTATAGAAACCAGAAAAGCATAGAATACTAAAGTCATCGTTGAAATCTCCTCAACATCTTCCATCCAAAAACTCTTTTAAATATTTTGTTTGAGTGGGATAAAATCGGGTCAAAAGGTTAGTAGGTTTTTCATTTAAAAAGTGAGATTCTAAAGGTGTTCCTAGTGTTCCTAGTTCCTAAAGATACGAGACGAATTCGTTTTCTAGAAACTTTAAATGATTTAAATAGACGAATTACAGAAAATAACAATCGTTTCGGAAAAATAACAAGCATTTCTAGAGTTTATGTCATATATCTATGCTTGGAACACGACCATCTCTCTGTTCGGGTGCCGGAGAAGGTTTGGGAACTTTCCAAACCCAAAAGGAGATCGTTGACGGGAAAATCGCTAAGATTCGTGTGAAAAGCTAGAGGCTCTTATAGGTAAGAGTTACAACTCTCTAATCAAGTTTAAGGGAAAATAGACGGTTAATTCTTAATACGTGACCGTACTACGTGACCGTACTACGTGACTTGGGGGCCACTCCCAGCCACTGGGATTGAACCCGAGGCCTCTAGCACTTACTAGTTGTCACTAGTGGCTATTGATCTTTTTGCTTGAGACGAGAGATAAGCAAGAAAAAAACACTGCCCGAAGCAGTGCAATTACGCAGGGAAAAGAAAAACACTACATAATACTGTTTTTTTTATTTTTACCCGTAAAACTATTAAAATTTTTGATGTCCTCCCTATTGACCATTCCAAATGAGCTTAAGAAACTGGTGCTCCCAAAAATCGATATGTCTTTATTGTTGACGTTGCTGAAAGTGAATCGCTCTTTGCGGCATTGGGTATTACGAAACGGTCCACTTGGACAAAAACTCGATAAAATTTACATTTATCTTTCTTCAAAGACTCGGCATTCACAAATTGCTTGGGTTCGCTGTGATTTCGCGCACTTTCGATGGAATTTGAGAGAACTATTGAAGTATCATCACCTCTTGGAAAACATTATTTATTGTGCTGAATTGGACGTCTATGAAGAGAAAGAGGAATCTGAGAAGAAAACTTACAACATCAAGAGCATTCTCGAGATTTTCCCCAAACTAAAAGGCACTGGTTTCTTGGAGTTGAATCAAGTGAGGGTGGGGCCGGTGCGAAGGATTTTCCCGAAAGAATTCGATGTGCTTGCAAAGACTACACTCCGAATAAAAGTAGGAGATTTGATAGATGAACTGAATAACTTTTTTGAGATCGTAACAAAAAACTGTCCTAGTTTTCAGATTCGAAATGCTGAAAATTTTATGAGTAGCCTAGCTAGATCAAAGGCAAAATACCTTGAGATGGAGTCTTGGGCAGAAGAAAGCGAAGAGATTTTGAATTGGATTCTCGAGAATGGCTTTCCAAGTCAAAAAGCTGAATCACTTTGTTATTTGAAGAATTTGAATCTCAATCGTTTTCAAATTCAACGAGTGATTTCTCTATTCTCGGCCGAAATCAAACTCGAAACGTCCTCTGTGACCCACGCTGAGATTGTCGACTTCTTTTATGAAAACCAATCACAGAAAGAAGAGTCCCTCTATAGTGATCTCTTCACCAAAGTTGATTTATTTAAGAAAATGATCAATTCGAATGTCTACATCTTCTTCTTCCTAATGCTGAAGTCGCCTCGTTTCACCAACTGTACCCTCGATATTCTCATCAGGAAAGTGAGCTTGAACTCGTTGAATAACCGCTCTCGTATTCCTATTTGGTTAGACTCGTGATTTTATCAGATTGAAATGATAAATTGTTTATAAATAGAGTAGACAGTTTTGTTTTTATTTAATAAAACACTTTTAAATCTCTAACTATAGGGATCAAGACTAAGTTAAGCAACTAAACATTGTTCAGAATAATGTTCTAAACGATTTTCCATCTCAACAATGTTCTTCTCATGATTTTTCCAACAGAGAACTTTGAAAAGTTTTGTGTTTTTCTTGGAATCATTGCAAGTTTTCAATAATCTTTTTCTGGCCGATTAGCGATTTCCCAGACTTATGAGATTTCTAGGAGTTTCACGAAAAGATCATTGATAATTAGTCATTTCCTAGTTAACTAGTCATTCATTTGCTCTAAAAAAAGATAGTATCTATAATATTGTATAAGTTTATTGATCATACACAAATGGACTGTTCTGACATTTCGATATACAGCTGAGAAAAGTGATGTTCAGATCCTTTTGGTAGATTTTTTTGGTAGATCCTTTTGGCTGATCATTTTGGTAGATTTTTTTGGCTAATCCTTTTGGCTGATCCTTTTCGCAGTCGTTGCACTTGTGACCATTGAATGCACGGCGAGACGATCAAAACAATTAAATTCAATGCAATTGTCAAAATGCAATTGTCTTCCTTATCTTGTCTTCTTGTCTGACTTGTCTTCCTTCCTGTGTTCCTTCTTCCTTCTTGCGCTCATCATCGACATCACCATTTTTGCCTATCCAATGAAAACCGAGAATGGAAAACAACTTGAAGACACTACTCATCGAAACACCAGAGAAATCAACCACTTCGAAACAAACGAGATGTTTGAGGAGAATATAATAGCCGCGGACAGAGCTACTGTTATACATGTCACAATTGTGGATCATGTACATACATTTGCTAGACGAGTTTGCTTTGATTTACCTCTTTTAAAAGATTATTTTTTTTCTTTTTTAATTCTATATTATATTCGTTTATCTACAAGTTTCACAAAGAAATTGTTGATTTTTATTTTGCTCAAACATTTCTTGATCAGAGTTGAAAATAGATGAAATCAAAGAAATAACTTTAAAAAACAAATGAAAATAGAAATAGTAAAGAAGCGTTTTCTAAAATGGAATTTTCTGATAACACAAACAAGCATAGGTAATAACAACAGAATTATGTAGATAGCATAGATAATAACAACAGAATAAAGGCTGATGTATGTAGATTGATGATAGATGATTGATTGATGATGTATGTAGACCAGCAAGAGTTTTTTGGTGAAGGTACAGGGTGAGCCATAATTGTCGCAACAAAATAAAGTTCTGATTTTAAGGCAGACTAGAGCAAAAAAAGACAAATTTTGAACTGATAAACATTTATTGTACATTAACTATTATAAATCCACTATCAAATTCGAATCAGCTACCACAAGCATTTGAGCAGGCTCGCAAGCGTTTCGGAAAGGCGTCACAGCAACCAAATAGGCTGGATCGAGCTCTTTCCACGCTTTCAACAGTAATTTCTTCAAGCTTTCGATTTTTTTTGTGTGACTTCGAACAAGCTTATAGAACCGACTATACTGTATACTGTAAACTATACTGTAAAATTCATTGGGTTGAGATCTGGAGAGCTAGGTGGCCACTCAGAAAAAGAAATGAGGTCCTGGAAGTTGTTTTGGCAGAACTCTTGGACTTTGTTAGCCTTGTGGGCCGGTGCGCCATCTTGTTGATAAGTCCAAATGCAATTTTGCAAAATGTTTACGAGCCCAGGGTAAGAGTTCATCCTTGAGAAGAACCAGGTAGTTATCGGAATTGACTTTGCGACACCTTGTTGCGACAATTATGGTGCACCCTGTAGTCTAGAAAATTTAGAGAATGAAAGAAAAGAGCATTAAAGAGAAAGATCATGAAGTGCAGCCTGAAAATGTAAAGTCTTCGTACGTTCTCTATACTTCAAACCCTAGAAATCCAAAGAAAAAACTTTCAACTATCTAGCCAACTTTTATACATAAAGGATATCATAATTACCTTTTAATCGAGTCCAATCACATATGTATATCCGTTCTTTTCTTTCACATAAACAGCACACAAATCACCAGCTTGGAAAAGGGTCGAATCAGCGATTGGAGGCACAGCCAAAACCATTGCGCTCTTTGTCGCGTTTCCAGCAGACTGAACGCCGACCTGTTCCCATAACAATTTTGCGATCAATTCATAATTGTCCCCATTTCCAGCCACAATTGTATCTGTTGGGGTGATGACCTCTTGCCTTTGAGTCTCATTTTGTGCACAAGAACTCCTAAAAACGACAAAGTTCTTGTTGAATAGATTCCACTCATAAACAACCCGATCACCGGTATAGTAGATAATCGGGAGTTTATCACCGAGGTTGCTGGTGGCAACGAAAAACTTTGGCTCATGCTTTGCCGCCAAGTCTTGAGCTAATTGATCGGCGGCCACCTTGGTGTCGCTTTGGTTGAGGCATTGAACAGCAAGTTCGGAGACTTTTCCCGGCCAGAAAGTTGACTCCAATTGTTTTCGTTCACTAACCATTTGAGTCAAAATTTGTTTTTCGATCTCTGCAAAATCGTGAAAGATCGAGTTATTTGAAGAGATCGGCTGTACCGCTTCACAATTAGCCATCAGCAACTCCAACAAACGCATATGCCCGATGATGCCGTTTTCAAAAGCACGATAGGATTTGTGGTTGTAATTTTGAGCCACGAGAAACGCTTGGAGGAGTGAGGTGCCGCCAGAAATTCGTGTCAACAACTTTGTGGTCACATCAATCGGTGCATTCAGACTACACTATTCTTTGAACTCTTCCAGATTCTGTGCAAGTTTCTTATCAAGAAATCTTCCCATTTTGTTTGTCCCATAAGTGATCACATCAGCCACATTCTCCCGATAGTCAAGGAATTTCATCTGAAGAAGCGTTTCGAGAAACTGTTCTCGAAGCAATTTCGTGATCTTGTCAAATTCTTGAATCATAAAGTCTTTTAAAGCACTTATTGCTTTAAGGATCTTTAAAGCGCTTATCCTCAGGAAAAAGGAAACCAAGAACTTTTCCGATAACACCTCCCACTCCACTCATTCCTGTGATTTGCGTAAAAAAGCCGGCAATAGAGAAAGTTTCTGAAAGTAACTCAAAGGCTTTTGTCTCTGATGCAATCTTTGCTGTTGTTTTAGCAATTTTTTCAAAGATTTCTTTGATTTCATCACGAGATTTCTGCGAGTTTAAGTCAACGTCAAGGATTTTCCCACCAAAATCAATGTTTCCCAGTTTGAGTGCCTCGATGATTTCTTCGGGAGACATTGTTGTGGCCTGTTTGGCTTCAGCTAGTTTTGAGGATAAGCTCTCACTCGAGTTCCCATTTTCAGCAAATGTAAAAGAGAAAATAAAGAAGAAGAAGAAGAAAACAAATAATTTCCGTGTCATAACAGTAAACACCCTTGATAAAAATGTGGGAATTCTGAGTTTATTTTGCTTTATTTATATAGGGAACATTTAGATAAGGAGTAGACATCTTAAAAAATGCACTTTTGTTTGTGTTATGCTGTTCATTTTATTTACATTTAAAAGATGCACACTTTATTTACATTTAATCTGACACTGACAATTTGACCAAAAGTTTTTTGAGATGAAATCTGATTGTTTGAGCACAGAGTAGACTCGACTCGACATCTTGGAGTCTAAATTTTGAAGGGGAAAAGCTCGATGTTTGCAAAAAGTTGAGGAACCAATGAACAGTAAGAAACAGAAGATAATGAACAAAAAAAGTGCATTTTTTGTTGTTTATTTTCACAGTCGTTTTATCAAAAATCTTCAGGCAAAGCTGTTCAGACATAAACTTGAATCTCGAACAAATAGAAAAGTTTGTAGATAAATGTGAACTTGCTACAGACTTAGGACCTTGAAGGGTTCTCCCTTCACTTTTTTTTATTTAAACAAAGAAACATTTGGTATCTCTGGCATCTCTACTGTATATAAGGATGTTCGTCTGTCTGTCTGTCTGTCCGTCTGTCTGTCCGTCTGTCTGTCCGTCTGTCTGTCCGTCTGTCTATCCGTCTGTCTGTCCGTCTGTCTGTCCGTCTGTCTGTCCGTCTGTCTATCCGTCTGTCTGTCCGTCTGTCTGTCCGTCTGTCTGTCCGTCTTTCTGTCCGTATGTCTGTCCGTCTGTCTGTCCGTCTGTCTGTCCGTCTGTCTGTCCGTCTGTCTGTCTGTCTGTCCGTCTGTCTGTCCGTCCGTCCGTCCGTCCTGTCCGTCCGTCTGTCTGTCCGTCCGTCTGTCTGTCTGTCCGTCTGTCCGTCCGTCTGTCTGTCCGTCTGTCCGTCCGTCTGTCTGTCCGTCCGTCCGTCTTTCTGTCCGTATGTCTGTCCGTCTGTCTGTCCGTCTGCCTGTCCGTCCGTCCGTCTGTCTGTCCGTCCGTCCGTCCGTCCGTCTGTCCGTCCGTCTGTCCGTCCGTCTGTCTGTCTGTCCGTCCGTCTGTCTGTCTGTCCGTCTGTCCGTCCGTCTGTCCGTCTGTTTATCCGTCTGTTACAGTGTTTTAAAAGAAACGGCTGAACGCATTTTTATGAAACTTTCAAGATAGACTATACAGGTGATTTAGTTGTGCCATCCGGTGGAATTTTGAGCGTAGATGGACATCATGGACAACTCTACATTGCTTTTAACCAGCAGGAAAGCCACCGTGAGGCATTGAATCTCATCGTTTATCTGCCTTTTTCGCTTTGTGATTGTTGCCATTGATTACTTACGGGTCAACGAACATCCCCGACCCCAAGTCATCAAGCAGGAAATGCTGGTTAAAAAATAAATGGAGAAAACTTGATTAGTGTGAGCTGCCCGTTGAACACAAAAAATAATTCCTTGGAATAAAACATGGTTTTCAGATGAAGTGTTGAAAAACTCCAAACGTTACGTTTTAGTACTACTTACGTACACCCCGGACACCCAGCCTAAAACCCCCTCCAGAATCAATGCACCAATTTCGATTCTGATTGCAGATTTGGATTTCTCTAGAAAAGTTGAGGGGTACGTGAAAAAATCTCAGCTATGGTTTGTTCGGTGGAAAATTTTATTTTTTGATATCAGTTTAAAAAATAAATGGAGAAAATTTGATTAGTGGGAGCTGCTCGTTGATCACAAAAAAAATAATTTATGGGAATTTTTTCAGACCAAAATTTCAGATAAAGTGTTAAAAAAACTTGAAATACTCGTTTTTAAGCGTTTCTAAAGTTATTTTAGGGTGAACTTTTATTGAATTTTGTTGGAAAGTGTTTATTTGATGCGAAGAAAACAAAAAAATGAAAATTTGAAGTAAATATTACAAAGATTTAGTTTATTTTTGGGAAAAAAAGGTTTAAATTGAACAAAGTGTCCCATCTATGCGTTGGAATTATTTTGAAAATAGGCTAAAATTCCCTTCATTCCGTGCGAGGCGATCGGATTAAACCATCGGGTGAAAAACGAGGCGCTCGACATAACATCGATCGTTTTCACGGTGCCCACGTGAGTGCCGCACCAGTTTACGAGGTTACGATTTGCCAGATAAACCGTAATGTCGAGTGTCTGCAAGACGATCTCGACATCTCGTGGCCCTCCATTTAGCCAACCCGGATCCTCCTTGAGTCTTGTCAAAACCGCATTCGCACCCGGACTATCAAACGCCACACAATGTAAGTCGTTTGCTTGATTCATATCAAGCATAGTGTCATTGCCAAAGGAGAACTTACCACGCCGGCCAACGGGAAAGAAAGCTGGGTGTTTCCTTAACAACGTGCACAATTGAGCCAGCCATCCGCCAAGACTGTGTCCAGTGATTGTCACCGAGTAGTCGTTGCGTACGAAGCGTCGCGTCCCCTCGTCCAATTTGAGCGTGTTATTTAGTATTGATTGTGACGTGTGCCAATCGGCAGCCGCCACAATGCTTGACGAGATCAAGTTCAAGGCGATTCGAACGTTTGCTTTTAGTTGCAAAAGATTGCTCAGTTGAGTTCCCCGATGCACGATCACCAGCCTCTTTGCGGGATGGTTGATGAAAGATGAGCACGTGAAGCCTAAAGTTTGATCATACTTGATCATGATCTTGATTTAATCATTTTTCTACCTTTTCAATACTTTTCTACAAAAAAACAAATGATATTACCTTTGTTTTTCGTTCTAGTGCACAGCTCCCAGTTTCTCTCGTCCAGATACTCGACCATGTCCTTCACTTTGATCGTTGCTTTTCGACTCTCAGGTATCTTGTGCAGGCAATCATGACTCATCTCGATCGAGTATTCAAGATTAACCATGTACGCGAGTTCGAGTGTACTAGGATGGGAACCAGAATCGGGCACGGTTTGCACTCGTCGAACTCTCGCATAAAGCTCGTTGCACCGTTGACATGACATCTTTGAGGGAACCAAGCAAACGGAGTCAAACCTCTGAATTCACTTTTAACCAATAACTAATCAAAACTTTACATAGCATTTCACAAGTTCATCCAAATATATTTTTTTACTTATTTTTTTAAAAGTAAAACAGTCCAACCTCAAGGAAAAACAGTATACAAAGACGAATTCTGATCGAATCTGCAAAAGAACGAGCAATGAAAGATAATTGAAACAGGAAAAGGCATAATTGTACTGATAATAAAAGTTTGTTACCAAATTTCACAATACAAAAATAAAAAAATGGGAAACAATTTCTCATACCGCTCGCAAAGAAATCAATGCTTTTGTCAAGGGTTGAGGGCGACTTTTCTTCAACAAAAAATCTATTTGAATGCAGGCTTCGGGAAGTTTTTTGGAAGCACTACGCTAGAAAAGAAATTTAACGCTTAAGGGATTCAGAATCGTTAAGGTGTAGCAAAAAAACTCAGCTTCCGATCTCTACATAGACGACTTATGGCTCGAATGTTTAAATGAAGAAAACAAATAAGGTAATGGAATCATAAAGCATAGGACACTTATCTACGTAACTTATGCTTGTTTCTTATTCAGTTTTCTTTAGTATTATACGGTTTTGTTTTATGGAATGAAAAACTAGCCAAGGTTGGTGATCCTAGAAGGGATCACGGGTAATGGGCTTTCCAAACTTTTGAGATGCCTTTCTTCATCAAAAAAAAGCTTGAATCGATACTTAAATAAATATAAGACTAAATTTATATAATATAATACACGTATGCATAATTTTTTCATTAAAGATCTTCACTAAATTAGACAATTTGTCAATTTAATGAAGTTCTTTAATGATAACGATTTTTTTGAGGTATGAGTGCTTTTTGAAAACCTTTATCCGAAATTAAAAGAAATAAAAGCTATAAAAGTTGATAAAAGCTAAATATTCAACGATTCGGTCGGCTGTTTCAACTCTAAATTCATTTTTTAAAGCCGTTCGCTCATTTTCTTACTACCGTAAATACTAAATAAGTTTTTTTAGTATTTCATTTTTTTCAAAGCGCCCGGACTTTCAAAAAATGTGTCTTTGGTATGAAAAAAATAGCCCTGAATTTCAGCTATTTTTTGATACCTAAGCGCGCATTTTAGCATAAACCAATGTCGAGAAAAGGGCGTCCAAAGCTAGACAAAAAAAAACGCGTCCAAAGCTCGCACCGTCATTATGGGGGTGGGGTACTATTACAGTGTTTACGGTAGGTTTTCGGCGAGACGACACCGAG